TAAATTTCAACACACACACACACACACACACACACACACACACACACACACACACACACACACACACACACACACACACACAGACAGAAAGACGGACCCCGCCCAACCACAGACCACTTGGAATGCACATACACACACACATGCATGCATGCACGAACGCACACATGAACGCACACATCCATGCACACATGCGCACACGCACGCACTCTTATACTCACGCAAGCACACACGCATCCATACATACACAAACACACACACACACACACACACACACACACACACACACACTCACACACGCGCATCTACACTTACTCACACACGCATGCATGCAAGCACACACGCACCCATGCACACACACACACACACTCACTATAAATACACTTGGAATGCACATACACACAAACACGCATGCGTGCACGTACGCACACATGAACGCACACATGCACACACACACACGCACACGCACGCACTCTTATACTCACGCAAGCACACACGCATCCATGCATACACAAACACACACACACACCTATACTTACTCACACATGCACGCATGCAAGCACACATGCACCCATGCACACACACACACACACACACTCACTATAAATACAAGGTCCCACAGCCCTGAGAGGAGAACTCACCAAAAGAAGCCTCCCCAGAGAGGATGTAGACAAAGGCGTTCCAGTCTCTGGGAATGGGCTGGTCCAGCTGAGACCCAGGGGACATTACAAAGTCCAGGTAGGAGGTAGGCGTGCGGGTGTACACCGGGGACTGAGGCAGACCGGACAACATAATAATAATAATAATAATAATGAAGATCCTTTCTATAGCGCCCATTCCCGTGTAAACACAGCTCTAGGCGCTTTACATTAATGCATGTACGAACAATATTCATGCACGTGACACACACACGCACACACACAAATACTCATACACACACACACAAACACACACACATACACATACACAAACACACACACTCATGCACACATAACATGAACACATGTGCACACACAAGTATGCCAAACACACACACACACATTCACACACACACACACACACACACACACACACATGCACACACGCACACACACACACACATCTACTTGCTTATCACACGAGCATGCTTACACATCGTCACGAAATGAGCACATATATAACAAAATAATATACACAATGCAACAAAATACATAAATGGATACATAGTCATTTACATAACATAACACTGAACATGAATCAACACACACATCATACGTGAGTCATTGTGGTGAAATCAGGGGCTCGTAAAAAAAATAATTTAAAAAAAAAGAAACTGGCATTTTTCTGCTACCGTACTGAAAAATGTTGATCAAAGGCACAAAAAATGTAAATTTGCGTTGTTCAAGGAACAATCTAGCTTTGAAAGTGACCAAACTTTGACAGTCATTTTCTCGCTAATTGTACTTCTGACACCAGGCAACCACCATCACCTTCAATCACTAATAATCTCAACTTGTATTCAAGAAAGATTAAATAGTATTTTATTCCATTAAAAGCGAGGTAAAATGAACAGGCTTTAAGATAGGGGGCCTACAAATAACTCCATATGCTCAAAAATTGGCAAGCACCCAATTCCACTGGTCGTGACACACTACTTTACAACCTAGAACACTCATTTTATTTATCTTAACATTTAAGGCAGGCTTATTTTTAGTTTGCAACACAAAAGTCTAAAAGCAAAACTTACATTGTGTCACAATGTTAGAGACACACTTTTTTTTACTTACTACATAGAGATGCATTTTTCTGCTCTACAACCTACTAGACAACTTTTTGATTATATTTTATGAGAAATATCACTCAAATCAATGTCTAAGGAAATCATTTAAAAATATTGCATTTTCATTATCTCTTTTCGCAGTTATTCAAAATATAGCTCACTCCAAAAAAAAGTTGAAACCTCATTCTTTCACAGATCTTTTTCAGCTTATCTCAATGTAAAACTAACATTACAGCAAACAACCAGAAAAATGCATTTCCAAAAGACAAAGACGAAAAATCAAAATGATACTTAAGAACAGTTTTTAATCACATGGAGCTCATTGTTGAGTGGGGATATACGCCAGATAAATACAATTATTATTTACTATCATAAGAAACCTTTGTTTTCATCAATTAAAAGTTTCACCCACCTTGACGCCGAAAGCCTCTCCGGCAATGACCTTGACTTTGACCCCACCTTTGTCTCCCCTGGGAATGTCTTTGTCGGACAGCTCCTGGTACGCTGGTTCCACCATCTTCTCAGCTTTCTTCAGGTTCACCCACAGCTGCAGACCATGTGACTCCGTGTCGCCGCCGGGCATTTCACAATGGACGATACCACGACCTGCGGTCATCCACTGAGAATAGAAAAGACAACAGCCTGTTATTGATGAATGTTGTACTTATGATAGAAACAACAAAAGACTGAGACCTTTTTTTAAAGATATATGTTAGTGTTAGTGTTCCTACGCCCCCCATCAACACAATTTTGATCATTTAAGAGGCAGGCTTCCGACCTTGCTTGTCAGGGCCAAATTAGCACTTTGCCCCCATGGGACGTCTTTCGGCAACGGTGAGAAACCGTCCTTTTTCCACACGGGACGCCGATTAGAGACAGTGTGATATAGCAACAAAAACATTGAAGCAATGATCTCCTTTTTGACATGCGCACTTATTAAAGTTAATTTTCTTTTCTGAATAGTTTGTGTAGCCTTTGAGGTTGAAATTCAGTTTGTATACAACAACTGGAGTAAATTGTTTGAAAAAGGCCGAGTAGACCAGGCATTAGTGCTGCTTTACTCTTTTGCTTTAGTCTTACTATTTTGATAAAATAGATAGAAAAAATTGGTTTCTAACCTCCGGCTTCTAGTTACCGTACTCGAAACGGCCAAGAATTCGGGTGACGAATGAGCTAGATTTAATGTTTTTAGTTCCAATTCTAATTCCTTTTTTGGTGAACATATGATCATCACTTTCAATTTTCTCAATATGCTAAAAATGTCATAATGGTTGGGGTATATTTTTGCCGAGATACAGGTGTAGTACTGATGTAGCCCATCTGCATCCTGGTCCGTGGGGACAAGGGTTATGCTTTCTGAAGGCTGCGAGGGTGGAAAGTGTTAAAGGGCTGAGAGGGATCACAGAGGAAAGACAGAGACGCACAATAAACATTCTCCCCACTCAGGAATTGAACTCGGATCTCCTGCATGAGGCAGCTAAACATCTAAGGGTCACACCAGTTCCACAGACTGTTGTTAATGAATGATGTGCTAATCATAGAGAGGGTTCTGTCTGATCTTTGAGTTGTAGTTTATTTTATAGAACGTTGCCCAAAACAGCTGCACTGCATATGCAACAAATAACGTTGACAGTGTGTGTGTGTGTGTGTGTGTGTGTGTGTGTGTGTGTGTGTGTGTGTGTGTCTGTGTGTGTATGTGAGTGTGTGTGCGTGTGTGTGTGTGTGTGTGTGCGTGTGTGTGTGTGTGTGTGTGAGCATGTGTGTGTGTGTGAGTGTGTGTTTGCGTGTAAATGTTTGTGCGTGTAAGTGTGTGTATGTGTGTGTGTGTTTGTCAGTGTCTGTGTGTGTATGGGTGTGTGTGTGTTTGCGTGTAAATGTTTGTGTGTGTATGTGTGTGTATGTGTGTGTATGTGTGTGTATGTGTGTGTGTGTGTATGTGTGTATGTGTGTGTGTGTGTTTGTCAGTTTGTTAGTGTTTGAGCCTATACTATAGTGGTTTGCACCATATAAAGCTTTCCAAAAAGTTGAAATCGTTTTAGAATTTTATCAATTCTGCTGGGGTTATAATAATTATAGATTGTAAAGCTCATAGAGCAAGCTGATAAGCAAGAATTTATGCTATACAAATTCTATTTATTTTATCATCTTTTATTACCTGTAGATCTCCTGCCTTTATCTTGCCTTTGTGACCCAGAAAGTCTTGGTGAATCCCCTCACCCTTCATCATGTAGGTCACCTAGTTCACATTAAACATAGAAAAAATATAGCAATCAATCATAATGACTTGTTTAAGAATAAAATTTGTGGCTCAAATGGCAATCTGGTAAAAAAAAAGAAAGCCCCGACATTTCTACGACGCTCCGTTGAACAGGTTGGAGCAACCCTCAGGGTTTATTTTATTGACATCGATTTTTTCCCCCCTACACCAGAAGAATGTTTAGGGTAATACTTAATATATATATATAATCCTTGGCTTTCCAAGAGAGATCATTGAAAAACAAAACAGGACACATAAAAGATACTTCAGCACTTGAAAGAAAAAGAAGAGCACGCTTGCTTTGGAAAGTATCAAAGTCCAAATTTTAAATGAACCTTTATTCACAGCAATAAATATCTGTTAAAATAAGACTTCTTTGAAAATAGTATTATAATACTACCTAACGACAGGCAAAAGACTCTAGCATAATCCCTCGTATACATGCTACAGTCTCAAGCACTTTGGGTTGAAGTTGAAAAATCTACCAAGAGACTGTGAACGAGAATGAAGAGGAAGAGAAAGAGAAGTGAGGAGATGGAAGAGGAGAAGGAGAAGGAGAAGGAGAAGGAGAAGGAGAAGGAGAAGGAGAAGGAGAAGGAGAAGGAGAAGAAGAAGAAGAAGAAGAAGAAGAAGAAGAAGAAGAAGAAGAAGAAGAAGAAGAAGAAGAAGAAGAAGAAGAAGAAAAAGAACAACAACAACAACAACAAAGACTCACAGTCTCAAAACCTCTGTGTGGATGATCTGGGAACCCTGCTGGGGGTGAGACGCGAAATTCGTCCAGCATGAGAAATGGGTCAAAGTTACGCAGCTGAGTCATCACCATGAAATACACAGGAAAAAATATAACAATCAATTAACACAGAATCCCATAAACTAAAAGTAATAAAAACAAAACAACAAAAACAAAATAAACACCCCCAAAAAATGTCAACAATCAAGAATAAAAAAATCTTCTTGTAACTGTAATTAAGGAACTTTGAGAGGTGATTAATTGACAAAGGATTCCTTTTTCTTACATGTAGATAATAAATATACTATATTTACATCACATTTTCAACATTTTCACTTTTTAAATATATATGGTAACAATTATCATCCTCAAAGTAGAGCTTGGCATGATTTTCTACAACCAAAAATATGTTTGATGGGGAACCTTGGAGAGAAGAAGCAGACCCAACTATTCAGCCCATGTGGAACATACAACTCCAACTATGACGCAGAGAGAGTTGCCATGGTAAAGACCCTGGAGCAGATCACCCAAGACTTTTTTTAAGGCGCAGTAACACCAGGGGATGTTGTTGTCTTCTCTGACTCAATGTCAGTACTCCAAGCCATCGAGGGAGGAGAAGACTACAGAGGTTTACCGGAACATTCTCAGCCTTGTAAAACAGAAGGGCACTTTCTATGGCGTCCGGGTCACACTGCAGTGGGTGCCTGGCCACTCAGGAGTACCAGGAAATGAGACTGCAGACGAGCTATCAAAGACAGGAGCAAGCCTGCCCCAGACAAACACAGCCGCCTCTTTACAGACCTGCAGAGGGATCATCCAAGCCAAAAGCAGAGACGAGTGTCTAAACAGATGGACCAACGCAGAAACAGGAAGATCTCTCTTCGGGTACAAGGACAAACCCAATCCCAAAGACCCTTCGAATCTCTATAAATGTAGAGCTGATCAGACTCTGATCCTCAGATCGCACACAGGACACTTACACACCAAAAGGCACATCAGAATTAACCCCAAGTGGGAACCCCATTGCAGACACTATGACTATGACTACCACGAGGAGACCGTTGAATATCTTCTCCTTCACAGCCCAAACCTGGCAGTTCTTCGACGCAGGCTCCTTCACACACCTACAGACTTACAAAGCCTGCTCTACTCTGGTTTTATATTCTAAAAATATTATTAATTAAAGGTTGACACACATTTTTCACAAGTTCGAGTATGTGATGAGATAATTGTGACAAGATCACTGGAGGAATGTGCCATGACGACTTCATCGTGAGACGAGTTAACTGGAAAAAACCTTTTTACAATACCCTTACAATACTATTATTATCGTCGTTATTATTATCTTTAATATAATTATTATAATTATTATAATTATTAAGGCTATTAAATGCTTGGGGACAGGACATCATAAATAAATTAACCTACCTCAGGACGTCCGATACTCCGACGCACTCTCGCCCCAACACCCTCATCCTGCTCAACACTTTCGAAACTCAGGTTGGTTGTGCGAGACATGTTCCACAATTAATTTAGATTAGATCTAGATCCAGACCGATCAACCCTTGATGATTTCGCTGTTGTGTTAATCACTCAGCAACTGGACAGTGAAGATTCAGTAGCGCAACTAGCCTAGCGACTGGCGACAACTACGACCTCCACATTCATTTAGTTTGTTGTTGTTTCTTTTTCAGCAGTTTAAAAATACCGTCATGTTGCTGAGTCATGTTTTGTCTCGCATTTATAACCTTCATGACGAAGCAAAAATCTGATGAGTTTCGTCAATAATAATATATTTTTGTAATCAGATAGGCCCTTTTTCAAGTAACAAGCAGCTTGGTTTAATTATGTCTTCCAGCCTCTCACCTACCTGCCAAATGATCAAAGACAGATGGTGAAGCAATGGTTATCCTTTTGCGACGAAAGCTCATGATACATGTATTTGTTTAATGATTTATTCTTTTTTTAAATTGTTCATGCACTGGGGTGTCAAGATATTTGTTAGTTGTCCTTCAATTTTTCGCGAGGATAATTGTACGTTTGGTTTTTAAAATGATGTTGGGGCCCTTCTATGCAAAATAAATAATTTCGAAAGTTGCCCCTGGATTTCAACAAGAGCCTGCCTACAGCTACAAGAGTTGAAGGAGGGGGTAAAGACTGAATCAGACAGGAAAAGATGAGAGACATCCAGAATGGACAGTCCTGATGCTGAGGGGAGCATCACTAAGAGTAAGAGAGGCACAGAACAACAAGATGGGAAGACAACTGGTTGCCAATATTCTGTGTTTGTGTTGACCCGACTGCAAGGAGATTAAAAGTAAGTTCTAAACTCCTTGCCCGACTGCTGGTTATTTCTTCTTTTTTTTTTACATTCGGATCTGCTGTAAAGTACTTTAGTAAAGTATACTAGACTAGATCTAGTATGCTGTTCTTCCTTGACAATCACGACTTCCCATGTCCCCTCTGACGTTTTTTTCCCCTTATCATGACACTTTCCAAGACCTCCTAGTCTTATCTTTTCTCCTGGGTGGCGGTCTTGGCTAACTTCAACCAGAGAGCTGCTTCGACTGATGATTGAGATAATGTATGAAAAGCTCAGCAAAAATAGCGAACGGTGTATCAACGAAACATCATCGGGGTAAAATAATTTGACTGTTCGAACTAGATTCTAGTCACACCCCACCCATTAATAGACCTCTCGCCTCTCTCCACTAGGCCCAGCATAGAAACAAACAAGTGGGTTGTTGGCTGTTGGGTCATTACCCTGCTGCTTGGCTTTGTCCGAACTAAAAGTTGCGTGATGTGACCCTCTTCTCGATGTTGAAATTGTATCATGTATGCCAATAGCGATATCATCTTTAACTGGATTCTACAGCATCAGCAGTCATAAAGGCAAAGACCTATATTGTAACATTGGTCTTTTCTTTGTTTCCGAACTCCGAGGAGACCTTTTCCCATTTTTCCTCGTTCTTTTTCTGGTTCTCACAGCATACAAGACAACGGCTGGTAACTTAATAAATAAGGGAAGATAATAATTGTTCTAAAAGAATGATCAAACTAATTTATAATCACTGTTCTTCTATTGCAAGGTTGCAGTGTTCTAGGAGGTGAGAAGTCAGAAGTAAACAGACTTCTCCGAACATCAGTGTTGTAGAGCACATTATTGTGGGGGTGATGCTGCGTCTACTCTGAAGGTACTGCGCACACTCACACCATGATGTATCTAGCTGTGGCCAGATACGTCTTTAGTATTGGGTCTGTCGCAAGACTAGCCTAGGTCAGAGGGGCTGGTCATGTGCATAGTCTCAGCCTGCCCGGATGATGTCTCCTGTTCGACGTATTTTGACTTCCACTTCTTTCCACACTGGTGTGCCATCTCATATCCAAAGAATGTTAATGAAAACCACTCAATTGACGTTAAGGAACAAAGTGTCTTTCATCGTTGGAAATAGAAGCAGTGTGAAAATTGGTCAAAGAATGCGAGTGTGTATTTCATCTTTACTCCTGGGCGTTCCAGTTGCATGTATCAGCAGTGAAATGTTTACAAAGTTTCCATTTAAGGTATTTAACCACCTGTTCTACGTTGCTCAATGTGAGACGATGGACAACGCTGTCATTATGGTGAAGAAGGATGAGCAGTTCTGTCCGTCTTTGCAAGAGAGGATCGTAGAAAGGCTGCTTCTGTGTCTGAGGGCCATCCATCTGTCCGTCCTGTTCTTCCCACTTTTGGTGTTGTATCCCGTGTCATGTGAGTGGAGACAGGAATGTGTGGGTCACGACACGGTGGAATCAGGCACTCGTCATTTTTTAAGCATTTGGAGATATTTGCGATTGAAGGAGGTGGGGGTCACCTGTTCGTCGCCTCAGAACCATTTTGTCCAAACTGTACACTTAATATAAAAGTAACAATTGATAACAAACTTGACTGGCATCCTCACGCTGCTCTTGAGCATTAAAAAATTAATAAAAGAATATTCCTTTTAAGGAATTTAAGAACTTTCCATGTTGATATAAGATTATTGAAAGTGTGCTATTATTTTGTATTTTTGCTGCTGGGCTGGGAATTGTAAGGTAAAGAAAAGTTTGACTGAACCATTAGCCAACAAGATCTCAAGATATGATTTTACTAAAATTGATGAAATGTATAACACCACATTTATAAGAAAGATAAAAAGTATTATAAACGACCCTTTCCACACAAATTTTAAGATCACGCAGCAGCAGATATGTACCTCCAAAAACAAAGAAAGAAAGATATAAAAGAAGTTTTTTACCATCTAGCATAATATAAGGTTATTGTCAGAATTTAAAGCATAAGATGTGCGTTGCTCTTTAGAGTATGTTTATATTATATAGCTCCAAAGGTCTTGTAATAAAGTTCCTGCATTTGGTTGAATGATGCATCTGATGTGAATGTACATTTTGTCAGCTTTACTTCTCTTTTCGTATTTAATTTTAATGAGAGTAATATATTAAAATTTAAATGTTTTAATGTATACCTGCACATGTGTTTTTACGGTGCACTACGGCCCAGAAAAATTTCCCTCTGGGATAATAAAGTACTATCTTATCTTATCTTAGTAAAGAGGACTCTTTGGACAAAATAGTTCGAGGCGATGAGTTGTCAGAAGAACAGTTAATGAGAAAGTGGCTGCCAAACTTTGGTGACGTCCTTTGGGTGTCCTTGGAAACTGAAAATTTACATTTTTTGTGTCTTTGATCTACGTTTTTCAGTAAAATACACACAGAAATATATATATATTTTTTAATGGCTATAAACTATTAAAGGTTTTGAAATCAAAAACAACAAAAAGTTGCTAAAAGTTGCCCAATGGGCCGGAAATTGTCGTTGCATTATTTTGATGAGTGCCTGATTTCACCACAGTACCACACATTTTATAAGTCTTTACTTTTTATTTTGTATTGTGTTAGTGTTAGGGACTAGGGGAAAATTAATGGGTGCAGTGTTAGGAATGGATCATTGTTTTTCTACTAGTTTTTTTTGTTGTTGCTATGTATCTTTTTTCAAGTTTCATCATATGCTGACAAAATAAAAAATACTCATGTAAGACGGTTTTTTAGATGTAAAATTTAGTCAAACATATGCTGTAGATAATTTATAAAAGAAGCTCATTTTGTGTAATTTTTTGCTTTTCATGTTCTTGGCATACACAAAAGAAATTATTTTCTAATTAATTCAAGTCATGGCAAATTACTACAATTCTTAAATTAAATTTTGGAGGAAGTGGTAGATACACGTACGGTAGCTGAGGCCTCCTTTAAAATTGCATTTAATTATCAAAATTATTGTTTCTCCAAATTTCTATTTAATAAGTTGTTGACATTTGCTGCACTACCTTAAGTATATATTTGAGATATATATTATATATCATAGACTCATTTCTTCATTACAATCATTTCAGATCTTCATGTGTCTTGCTTTCAACTCTGGTTGAGTTTGTTGTACCGAGCAACAGAACGGTCTGGTGCAACGTTCATCAAACTGGGTCAGTGGGCAAGCACAAGACGAGACCTGTTCTCCCCCGATTTTTGTGAGTGTTTCTCTCGTCTCCACCACAGAGTGCGACCTCACGCCTGGTCACACACGGTGGAGACTTTGAAAGAAGCGTTCGGCAGCAATTGGCGGTTGATCTTGGGACTGCAAGAAAAACAGGAGCCAATCGGGTCTGGATGTATTGCTCAGGTGATTTTGTCTTATCGATAAACCTCTGAGGGATGCTCCTTTAGCTCAGATAATAATCATACTGGACTAAAGAATGGATAACTTGGTTTGAAACTCAAAGAGGGCATTCTTGAACTCAAGTCGTTTTGTGGAGTTTTCATGGCTCTCAACCCGTTTGGCTTGGTTCTGTCGGAGACAGACGTTAAATTCAGAGGTGCCGCCTCTTAAATAACCTAAAAAATGTTGATCAGGATTTTAAACCCATACAGTTACACTTACTTGTCCTCTGAGCTATAGGCCTAAGAAAACCTTTGCAGAACTTTTCTTACATGTAGATTGTTGTATAGAGTTTGTTCATCCCGCGTAGGTCGATAAACTGGATGGGGAAATGACTGCTCGGATAATTTCACAGGGTTTATGCATAAGACAGAGATTTTGCTGTGATACTTAGGCCTCAGGTATATTTTTTTCCTTTCCTTTCCCACTGCCCTTGTTTTTCAGACAAGAGATTACTATTGTCAACACCAGTATTGTACTGCTTCAACCACCTGTTTGAAATTAAAAGAGCCTTATCATTTGCTTTTGTGTTAGCAATCCGGAGACTGGGAGGAGGTGTTGCTTTGCCCTTGAAAACATGAATTGAAATTATCAGTATCTCTCAATTAGTAATCCGTGTTGGAATGGAAATATGGGTTCATCAGTCTTGAAAATATTTGAAAAAAATGATTATACGTGTTTGTTAATCTTGAAAATATTTGACAAAAATATAATACTTGGGTCACAGCACCAGCCTAATCATACTATACACTGGCATGACTATTTGCAGAAAGGTGGGATGACAAAGAAAATGAGACATTATTTTGTTGTGCAGTTTTATGAATATGATTTTAAAACCTTCTGTAATAAAGGGATTGTCTGCCAGATGTTTCTTTTTTTTTTTCTTACACTCCACGTAGGACAGTTGTGATAAGTAAAGCTTTGAAAAGTGTTCCTCTTTTTATCTTTGTCTGACTAGAGCAAAGCCATGAAACTAAATGAACATGATTATTGTCCTCAGGTCTACAAAGGGAGCATTCCTTCATCCTTTGCATCAAGTGAAATTACGAAAGAAATAAGGGATGAAGATGATCATCAAATTTTTTATGAAGAAGGTGAGATTTTGACTTCTGCCTAGTTTCAGCCTTCGTGTTCATTGCACATGTTTTCATTCTATGAAATATGTTACTATTTTATTTTCAGTCATTACATTTGCTTTTAAATATTTTGACAATTCAAAGGATTTCACGGAATATTACTTCTATTTCAACAAAATTGCCCAAGACAAAGACTTACTGCTGAGAAGAAAGCGGTTGTCTTAGACAAGGTGTGCATCATGGACAGTGTCATTATTATATTGAAAAAAATACAAGGGGATAAGCAGGAAATGATCATTTTTACAGGTGATTGCTTGGACAGGTGGCCATTAGGACAGGTTGTGACTCTTATTTACTATCTCTCTTTTATAATTTACTTATGAAGTATTTTATTTTTATGTGGACTGTAGATTTTCCTTAGCTTATTTCAATCTCAACTGTGGCTTTGCACTGTCCGCATTAAAGCTACAGCCTTTATTCAGCCTTTTCCCTATCTTTATCACTTCATAAAACATTAAGCTGTGTTGCTGTGGGTCAAAATAGTGTAATAGTGTTGTCAGTAGTACTGGTTTCATATTTCTTATCCTGTTTGTTGCCACCTCCCCCCCCCTAAAAAACAATTCCCCCCCCTTTTCGCGCAAATTATTTCATGAACTTCGTTTGACAGGTGTTGAAGTGGCATCTCTCCCAGTGGACAGCCACACCGATGCGCTTTCAACGGCTAACACAAATAACTCAGACCCGGGGACGTCAGATGTCATTCCTGTGGCCATCAAGGTGAAGGCCGGAACTGTTATCAATTGCCAAACCCTCTCTGGTATTCAGGGTTAATGAAAATGGGGGGAATTGTTTTTTAGGATCTACTGATAGTCTTAAGAAGAAGGCAGTCATTTTTGTGGACTTCTAGAGCATGTAAGTCTGTACTCGTGAGTTATAAGTTTTAGTTTTTCTGTTCCCTTGTACTGCAAAGTGTTTAGAGGGGATGCAGTTGTTGGACATGGGTTAAGGTGTGTTGCTTTTTTAAATGTTAACATGTTATGTTGTGATTTGGAGGGTCTCTTTTTTCTGTTGATCCTTTTTCTTCTTGATCTTCCTCTTGCTTCGAATCAATTAAATCCCATGTTATAGGCCTTTCAGGGTGGCTGTTGTGGTCCTTTTTCTCATAGCGTGTCCAAACAATTTGATTTCTTGTCTTAAGATATATCGATGTATGACTTCTCTTTAAAAAGGCTTTTCCCCAATATTGTTTGTGATACGTCCTTTTTTACTTCGAGAAATTTCTCTTGGTTCTTAATTAGTGGGTTTTAGGGGTCTGAGCATTTTAGAGCATAGTTTACATATATCCAAAGAAATTTAATATTCATTAGGATGAAAAAAAAAATCTAGTTCATGAATAACTCTGTCTAGTCTAAAGTTTATGATCCTTTTCGAGCCCCATGAACAAATTCAAAAGTCTTCCCACCTTTTTGCTTTGTTTTATTAAAAAAGCAGGAACTCTGTTTTAATGCGTACCACTGATAGTGCAATGTCAAGTGAGTGGAGACCTAAAAGAAACTTCTCATACAAGTACCGAAGATTAGAGGTGTACAAGAGAGTAACAAATGCAGTAATGAACTAGGAGAGATAAGGATCAAAGATGTTTTATAGAAAAGAAGGAGCAAACCACACCACAGAACCTGCCAACTGCCCGCATTTGCTATTTTACTTTACCACACTATTGGACACACCCTGAGGAGACCCCCGTCAAGCATCATCAGGCAAGCTTTAATGCGGAACCCACAAGGAAAACGAAAGAAGGGAAGACCAAAGATGACATGGAGGTGAGTGGTACAAGCTGAAATTGAAAAAGCGGGGACATCATGGAAACAGATAGAAAAGGATGCTCAGGACAGGCTTCGCTGGAGTAATGTTGTTGATGGCCTGTGCTCCACTGGGAGTTAAAAAGGGCAAGAGAGAGACTTTACCACACTGGGAGTTGAAGTTAGTTAAGATTTCCTTCCTTAGATTTTACCTTGCTTTCAGTGTTTGAGCAGTCACTTCAGCTCTTTTGACTTGAAAAGCTATTTCTGAACTGTGTTGTACAAAGAATCTTCATTTATGCCTCCGCCAGGTGCTTCATCCCAACATACGAGAGACATTCCACCGAGACCTGGTTTTGATGGCGGCAACGGCGAAGTACCTCACAAAACTATTTCCCAAACTTCACTGGGTCAACCTCAACCAGTGCGTGCAAGAGTTTTCGGAGACCATGAATAGACAGGTACAAACTGTGGGAAAACATTTTTTCTATTGTGTGAAGAAATGTCACGGTACCTTATGTTACCATAGGCAAATCTGCGATGAAGTTCAATATATTCCAGTATCTCAAATACAGTTGCGGGGTAGAGGAAAGGGGGGGAGTATACTGTAACTACAAAAAACTGACCAATTTGGTAGATTGCGCTTATTATCGCCATCGTGATAAGATCAGATAACTGCAAAATTATTTTGCTTTTTTTTTTTCATAAAACAATTTCTACACACATTTCATATACTGGTTAAAAATTTATATTCAAATAAACAACGAAAAGTGAGCTTTTTTAACAGTATGAAAATCGGATGACTCTAAGCCATCCTTTGAATAAATCAGTTTTTTTCATTCTCCTGAAAAATTTACCCATTGTCACTTATCCGACCTTATCACGGCAGCGACGATATAATACAGGGTGAAATTCTGACTGGGTTGGGGAGCTGCAATATGCATGAAGTCAAGTAGTAGTCAGACGTCAAAATATACTATCTTGTCTTTCACAACTCTGCCGTAAGCTGACGTATGACAAAACGCCATTTTATTATTCACAGCATTTTCGAGAAAAAGAGTTTTTTTGTCAGCGCAACCATTGAAAAATAGAGTTCTTCTGAAATTTGAATTCGAATTTATTCAAAAACTGGTCACAGTTTCACTTTGACTTTTACCCACAAGTAATGAAACTGATCAGGCTTTTGATTTAGTCAATAAAAAATTTTGGCGCCAAAATGAAAAAAAGGCGTTTTGTCAACTTACGGCAGTTGTTGTGGTTGTTGCCTTGAGACTGATTTAGTCTGTGAGACTGGAGTGGAAAGTTCTACAAACAAGACACCATGATGTGTTGTAATGTCCAGACTTTTGAAAAACTAACGTTCAATGTGGAGGTCAGGGATATACTTTTCGACCTCACTTTTTTTTTTTTATCGTTTGTATTACAAGCGAGGACATACGGTAATGATAACACCAGTATAATGTGATGATTACTGAACCAACGGTCAGTGAGTTTATTCAAGAAATATTTTGCAAACTCAAATAATTGTACTGATTGTACCAGTGTTCTTTGGTCTACTGTGTCAACCTAATTATTTGTAGCAAAGATCCTTTAGGTTCACAGGTTTCATATTTCTTTTTTCTTTTTTTTAGCTGGACATGAGACACGAGGCCCGAAATCTCCAGCGTTTTACTCGCAATTTCCATAATGTCTCAAGCATTCGTGTTCCTCAACCCATTCCTGCCTTGGTGCGTCGAAACATTTTGGTGGAAACATTTGAAGTAAGTCATTTTAATTGGAGGAAAAAATGTATGACTTGGTTTGTAAGCTCTTTCTTTCAATCTCTTGCTGCTATTTATTGCTGCTATTTGTCTCTTGAAAGTTTTCATGTTCTTACAAGAAACTTCAAAGAGAGAAATGTCCATCTTTTGGCATATGCTTCAAAGCAGCTCAACTCAAAGCCTGTAAGTTGTAAATGTTGGCAAAATATGATCAATGCAATTTGGAAGTTTGCACTTGTCCTGCTCATAGAGCTATAAACGACTCCATAAAAATTTACATGTCTTGCCAGTTGAGGCGTTGCCTTCCTCATGAGCAGACTTCAAATTTGCAACAACAAAAAATGTATTTCCATGGACACTGTTCCTTCACTTTTATCATGCAGACATGAAGTGCAAGAGTGATGATCAACAGTAGACATATGTACATAAGTGAGGAAACTAAAATAGAAGATTGCCTTGTTCATGGGAAGAGTGTTAAGTATGGGCAACGAGCTGGAAAGGAGTTCTTTCTCTGAAGATTTCGTTCTGTCAGTAATTCCGTGCTGCCACTCAGTTATTCTACTGTGCTTCTCCCAAATACACATGTGGCAAACTCAAGGCCTGCAGGCTACATCTGGCCCAGCACACTATCATTACTGGCTCTTGAGAGAATTTTAGGTGGCCTATCCTGAGAATCTCCATAACACAAAACCTTGCTCCAAACATAAACAAATTTGTTACCAAGGAAAGATGCTATTCGCCTCTGACAGAACCAAAATTGTCATGACTTGATTTGATATTATTTCAACTCTATTTTATTTATTTCAACTAATTTGTCTGTTTTAATTCATACCATTTTTAAAAAGGTTTAATTTTCCGCCGCTCAGAGAGTATTTAAACTGTTCAGCCTGCAACCTTAAGTGTGATTTGAGTTTGTGCCTTATCAAAACAAAAATATGCCTACATGTATTTTATAGATCCGTCTGATCAGGAAATTGATCTAGTTCTGTCATTGGCTTCTGAAGCAGAAACCTTCCCGACTTTTAATCAACCCAAAAGCATACAAGCCTGTGGACTCATGTGAACACATGTTCACAAGGTTGTCATATATACTTTCTCTAATGGTTAATATTGGTTTGAAGAAGGAACTGACCCATCTCTTGCTTGACTCTACTGGGCTAATTTTAACAATTAACCCATACTATACTTTGACAAAGAAATAGAGGATCTGATAAATAATGAGCAAATGGTTGCTGAGTAAATCATGTGCAGCCAAACCTGCCCTACTGGTCACTTATCCAAGACAGTCACCTGAATAATTTACTACTTTCCACCTTGTGTTTTCTAACACTCTGCAATCACACAATCGGTAGTACAAAATACCCCACCTGGTCACCCAGCCAGGAGAGCGACTGCAATGGACTTTTCGGGCCCGACGCAGAACTGTGCCAGGTGACTGGAACGGATAATTTTCACTGGCTCTGTATTGCACCAAGTGACCGCAAAGTGTTGTATATTATAATGACACTGTCCAAGACATCCACCTGTCTAAGACAATTACTTTACTCCTCAACAATGAACAGTCACCTTTGAGAATTTCAACTGTATTGTGTCTCTCTGTCTCGTGTGTCAGGAGGGGATCAGCGTCGGTCAGGTGGTCAGTGACCACAGTTATCCTACAGAACTCCGGGAACATCTGGCCAAACTTGGCATGGACCTTCTCATGCGCATGGTAATGTATGAGATCAGCTAGTAGTGTGGTCAGACTAGTTTGGTAAATGAGAGTTATAACAAGATAAGATAATACTTTATTGTCCTTGCAGTGGAATCATGAGTTTCATTGAGGGGGGGTAGGATCTTCATACAGTTTCACCTTTTTGGAATGTGCACTTTATTTGATTAATTAAGTAATGTGTCTTCCTAAAGAATTTAATATGTACAGAACTGGTAGTAGATTTTCTGGTGTTAGTGAGATTCTTGGTTTGATAGTAATAGATTTCCATGAGTCTTTGTTATTGTTTTTGTAGATAGCTTATTGCCCTTAATCCATAAACGTGTTATCGATAAAAATAGACGGTAACATAAATGATGACACTATGAGGGGGGGGGGGTGATGAGGGGGAGTGGGGGGGGAGACAACTACAGCGAATTATAGGCGATTTCCAGGTTGAGAACCATAGATATGGGGTACATAGAAGCGGAACCAATAAATTGGCAAAAAGATATTATTAATCCGATTACAGGAAAAAGAGGCTAAAACAGCACCTGGACATGGATGGCTGGTGCCTCTATAAATAAATCGTTGATGGTCTGGTCTGGTAGATAGCTTATGCAGTTCTTTTGTATTGAAATTGTAGTATCTTGCATGTTTGTGACGTACATGCATGATGTGATGACGTCTGTGGTGGTGGTTCCTCAGGTGTTTGTCGACAACTTAGTTCACGCTGACCTTCACCCTGGGAACTTGCTGGTTCAGAATCTGGAGTCGTTCCACAAGGAGGTAACTGTCACACCCCTCTGTGTCTGGTAACCATTGTAGCGACTTAGTTGCACAACACCTACGTTAAAAAAAGTCCAGTTAAACCTATGCTGTTTTATAATTAATGCGCACATGTATATATATATATATATAAGGCGCTTGTGAATAAACATTAATTTGTCTGTACTAAGTTCGCAACTCAACGTTTTGTCATGTCTCTACACCAAACTTACCATCTGTGTCGTTCATTCAGAACGTCTTTATTGATTTAAGTTTTGATAAGAGTTTTACAGTATTAGCAACACAATTAAAAGGTCAGATATGTGCTGAAAATAAAAGGTGTTACATACGGGACAAAAAAGGTGGCGAGATAACGACAATAGTTGTTTGATTGGAAAGAAGAAGCAAACCACATCAGAGCACCCGCCAACTACCCACAAAATATCTTCATACATATGAAACAGATGAACTTGGTTAACCCAAATCTGTACACTGGCCTGCCTTCTTTGGGGCAGTGAATGGGGCCTGCAAGACTCTGTTGAGACATTTGTAGTTCTACTTTTTTAAAAATTTTTATGTACAGTTTAAAAAAGAGCTAGAAAGAGTTTTAGTTGTCTTTATGTGGATGGGTGGCAGGAGCTCTGGTGTGGTTTGCTCCTTCTTTCCTATCAAACATCTATCATTCATATCTCTCCTCCTTTTTGCCTTTGTATGGTAATCTCAACTAACATCTCTAATCTTCAGCACTGATATGACCTAATTGTGTTGCAAGTGCCATTAAACACTTATTAAAGCTAAAAAAAGACTAAAGTTGTTCTCAGATGGTATAAATTTATCCAGATTATATCCTAAGCTGCCAAACTGAATGATTATGGGCTTCCTGGAAGGAAATGGCATAAACGTGTGTGTGTGTGTGTGTGTATGTGTGTGCGCGTGTGTGTGTGTGTGTGTGTGTGTGTGTTTTCTGACTTATAAGAGTTTTACATAAGGTTGGTCACACACTAAAACACACACGCACACCATACACATACACACACATTGTACACACATACGTGCTCATACACACACACGTACTCTGTGTCTCTGGCACATTCTCTCGCAATCATACAAAGCTCTCTGAAAAGTTATGAGGAAAATAGCCATACTGTAGCCAGTAATGTGCTTCCCATTTTTCAGTTTCAGTCACTGTACTAAAATCAATGCACACTGTTTTAGTGGCATTCTGACAGAATGGATTACTTTTCGCTATCCTAACGCTAACAGTGTTGAAAGGGACTTAAGATTCATACAGTTACCAATTACACTTCACATCTAACATTTCTGACTTACTGCGTGGGTGGTTGGCGATAGCTCTGGTGGGGTTTACTCCTTCTTTCCCATCAAACATCTATCATCCTGATCTCTCCTCATTCTTTTTTGTGTTTATCACTCTCTTCTAACGCCTCTAATCTTGGGCACTTATATGACCTTATTGTGTTGCAAGTGCCGTAAAACTCTTTACTAAAACTTAACGGACTTACTGCTGCTGTTTGATTACTTCAGAAAACTGCAGTTGTTGAGGTGGATGCCCTGGATGTGATGGTGGTGGACGTGCGGCCAATGGAGGAGTCCGCCGTGAGACTGGTGCTACTGGACTGCGGCATCACCACGTCGCTGGAACCCGAGGACAGGCTCAAATTTATGGAGGTCTTCACCGCAGTGGTGAAGGGAGATGTAAGATGACCATTTCAGATAAGATAAGATAATACTTTATTATCCCAGAGGGAAATTTTTCTTGGCTGTACAGGCCCGTAAAAACACATGCATGCATACATTTTAAAAAATTATTTATATATTACTCTCATTAAAAGTCAATATGAAAAGAGAAGTAAAGCTGATAAAATGTACATATCCCCACAGATGCATCATTCAAGCTCATGCAGGAATTTAATTACAAGACCTTTAGAGTTATATAGATTCATACCCGAAAGAGCAATACACATTGATGCCTATTCTGACAAAAGCCTTATGCTCGATGATAAAAAAACTTCTTTTATATCTTTCTTTCTTTCTTTTTAGAGGCACATAGGTGCCACCTCATGATTTGGCAATTTTCATGGAAAGGGGTGTGATGAGTCGTTTATAATGTTTTTTGCCTTTTTTATACTTTCGGTGTTATACATTTCATAAATTCTTGTAAAATCATATTCAGAGATCTTGCTGGCTTTCTTAATGGTTCTGTCGAATTTTTCTTTCTTTCATCCTGTAATCTCCAGCCCAGCAGCAAATACAAAATAATAGTACACTTTCCATCATAGAATGGTATAAAAGGGAACATAATCTTATTATCGACACGAAAACATGTTTTATTGTGTTATGTTTTGAATGTTGTCTCCTTCAGACTTTCTCCTTCAGATTGGGAGTGTTGTAGTTTAGAGGCATGGCGTCGGACTTGCAGTTAAAAGATTTGAGGCTCCATTCACCAAATACTTTTGTGTGGCATCGTGGTGCTATCAGGCGCCCGTCAAAATAGGGAAATTTGGAAAACTGACCTTTTACCACCCATAAGGCAATTTATGTGGAATTTTTTTTTAGCTGAACACATTATATGATCATTTAAAAACACATTTCTTTGGGGATTCTACTGAAAAGTGTTGATTAAAAGGACAAAAAATGTGAATGTGCAGTTTCCAAGAATACTGAAGCTTTGGAACTCACCACAAATTGGCGGCCATTTTCTCGCTTATTTTACCTCTGACACTAGGTGGCACTCACCTCTTTCAATCACAAATATTTCAACTTTTATTCAAAATTATTGGTGGGGGGGGGGATTCTTCGAAAGCACGGAAAATGAACAGGTTTAAAATAATTATAATAACTCCATATGCCCCATAGTTGACCGGCGCCAGATTCCACTACGTCGAGATACATATTTGTATTGTCAGGTACGGGACTTTCTCCAGTTCACTCTATAGAAAATGGATACTAGCCATTAGAATATAGGATACAGAGCCAAAGAACAGTCTGGCTTTTTGTCTTTTTCTGCTTTTATCACTGCATTTTTTAACTCACTTCAGACGGGTCACACAACAGTTGCGTGACCCCCGCCGCGACGCTCGCGACGGGTCACACGAGCCCTGCGTGACCAACTTTGGAATTTTTTTTTCGCTCTACAAATCACGCACGGATCGCGAAACCCGCCTCGTACCCTTGTTTGGCCAAGCCTGAGCTACTTAGACTTCGTTTCGTATCTCTGGGGCTGGTAGTTTTTAAGTTATTGAAGGTGAAGGACAGTGACCCCAACTGGGGATGAACAGACCGGAACTCGCGCTTTGTTTTTTTCTATACAGCTGATAGTAATCCGACAGTCGCGTCGTAGTAACGGTCGAAGAAGTCGCATGAACAAGAATCACATAATTTCGCCGTTTTCTATACTTCTGTACGTTTTACTAGTTTTAGTGTCTCAGAATATGATGTGTCTAATAGTTAGGATCCTGGATATGTACCTGAACACGGCCCGAGTCGTAGTTCTAGGGCTAGATCTAGCACTAGTACCGGTGTTGTTTTTCGCGCAACGAAATCACAACGTCGTGCCGTACATCTGTCTATGTATTTTCAGTGTATGGGTCTGAATCAATGCACAGACCAGCTTTTATATTTTCACCAAACACTCGCACATGTATACAAATCAAACCAGAACACTTTGAACTTTTATTTTTGTTGTTGTAGTGAATTTCATTCTACTTGTCACGTCTCTGGAAATTTTTTGGAAAATCAAATTCATGCCAATTTTTAAAAAATCATACAAATTAAAGTATTAGACTTAGACAACTTTGGTTTTTTGTATTAGATTAAGCTTGAATGTTACTTTACTGTGTCAAAAAATAATTACAATAGGGTAATTCTGAGAGTTGTGGTGATTTATTGAAATACCCCCAAAAACGCCAGTCTTCAACGCTTGTGACTGGTGAAAGGGCCCAGTCGCAAGTGAGTTAATTATTTTTTTTTTAGATAAGAACATTATTTTTTTTTAAAGAAAAAAAAAAAGATAAGAACTTTATTGAAATCAGAAAACAGAAATAATCGACATAAAATTCACTTGATCTTCACGACAGCATTGTAGTGCAATTACCAATTTTATTCTTCTCTTCATAGGGTGTTGCCGTGGCCGACTTGTTCCTGTCTAAATCTGCCGTCAATCACTGCACGGACAAAAACCTCTTCCGAACAGAGATGTCTCAGGTGGTGTTGAAAGGCAGACAGAACTTGTCAAGTATATCCAAGGTGAGTGTCTAATCTTTCATCTTTTTCTGCTGTGCTCTTCAACAAGAAACTTTTTGGTTTAGTATACAGTATAACATGGATAGGTTGAACACAGAAGACTCAAAATTATTCATCCGTCGAACAGTGCCTGCAATCTGGTTGGGGGTTTTTTTTCCTTCTTTATCTTTGTAAGATGTCTCTCGAACTACAGATCATGCAAACTACCGAGGCCGGTCCCAGCGAATTTGGGCTATCCATGTTATACTGTACATGTATTAGTCTGCACGGATTTTAAAGTTTTGTCTTCTGGCTGTCATTTCCCAGCAATAATATCTTTGGCTGAGGCTTCCTCAGGATTGACTCGACTGTGTCTGTTTTTTCCAAATTCAGATTGCCAAACTAGCCAAAATGATGGCTTTCAAATAGCGTTGTACCGTGTCAGTAAGCAAATGAAAAAGCAATCCTTTGTGTGCTTTTGCCACAACAGTAGGTCCCAACGAGTATGTCCTATAGTGTGCTCTGTTTTGTTTACTCCTTGTCATAGAAATCCATTTTTCTCAAAACAGGGAATTTGGATGTATAATCACTTCAAGCTCTGAGTCAACGATTTATAGTGTGACGGCTGCATATTGCCTCACATTATAAAAAGATTAAAACTTATAAAGAAGACGAAACACAACATCTTTGCTCGCCTACCTGCCGGAAAAACTTATTTATTGTTTTTCTTTTCTAATGAGATCTCGTGTATTCAAAACGAGACAATATGATACGTGGCAAGAAGGGGAAATAATGGTGATATCAAAGAATCGTTATTGCAACATTCGCAACATAGTTCCTTCCCATTTTTACATTTCAAAACAACAGGCATTACGTATAGTAACACAAAAATATTTCATTAAACTTCCGCTCAAACCTCACAGTTTTTGGTCCGTTCTCAGTGACCGGTGAAGACCACAGCAAGCTGACAAAACACGTTTTTTCATTTTGGTGCCAACATTTTTTATTTGCTAAATCGCAAGCCTGATCAGCTACCCTATTTGTGTGGAAAAAATCAAAGTGAAACTGTGACTAGTTTTTGAATAAATTCGAATTCAAATTTCGAATCACCCTATTTTTAAATGACAAAAAAACTCTTTTTCTCTAGACTGCTGTGAAGATAAAAATGCGTTTTAACAGCTTACACTTACAGCACAGTTATTGTCACCAGATGTAAGATTTTGTCTCTATTATTGTCTTTTACTTACTGATGACATGATCAGTAGCTGGAACAGGAAACTTCTTTTTTTTTAAATTCTGTCTATTTTGCCAATTCCGCTGTCTGCTGTTGGAAGTTTTGCAATTAATTTTTGTTATTAACTTTGACAAGAGTTATTTTTTACAAACTTTCTATACTGTCATTGTTATTTGTTACATAGTTTCATAACACTATGTAACAAACTATTTTTTAAATGTTGGTATCTTTTACAACAAATTATTATTTGTAGGTAATTTTTCACATTGTTTTTCACATACCTTCTTAATTCATATTTTTAACAAACCTGCTCAACACTGATGAGTCACAGTACTGACTTTCTTTCGTTACCTTTGTCCTCACCAGATCAAGGTCGCGGAACTGATGCATGAAGTCTTCGATGTTCTCAGCCGTCACAAAATCCAACTGGAGTCAAGTTTTGCCACCATTATCTTAGCCATCGCTATGCTGGAAGGTCTCGGGCGATCTTTAGACCCAAATTTGGACTTGCTACAACAAGCAAGACCGATTGTACTAAATTCCGCTTTTCGATAAAGTGCTTCTAATTCCCAAGAGTAAGAAAGAGCTGATAGTATCAAGATAGAAATTTATAATTTATAATAAATGTACAAATAGTTCAGCTTTCAACTGTCTTCCTTTCATTGACACATCAAAAGTTTTGAGAAATACTCCCTACCATAAATCACTTATCAATGATACTTTTAGTAGCTCAGGTTTGCTTTTAGTTTAGTCAAACGCGCAACATTTTTGTTAATGGCTCGTGTATCTTCACAATGTACATATGTGATGCAGCGTAGTGAAATCAGGCGTCAAAATAATGAAAGCCAAGAAACTAGCATTTTTCCGCAGGTTTGGGAATTTTTATTGAATTTTTGTGTTTTGGCTCAACACCTTTCAGGCCCATTAAAGAACACATTTCTGTGTTGATTTTATTGAAAAACGATTAAAGGCACAAAAAAGTATAAATTTTCAGTTTTCACGTACTCTAAAGCTGAGGAAATAACTCATTTTTGGGGACCATTTTCTCACTAATTTTACCTCCAAAACCAGGTAACCCCTACCTCATTCATTTGCAAATATTTTGACTTCTATTCCAGATAAATGGGGGTTTTTTAATCCAAAGCAAGACAAATGAATAAGCTTTAAGATGGTACAAATAACTCTACATGCCCAAAAATTGACGAGAGCCTGATTCCACCATTTCGTGACACTCACATGTTTCTATTCTTAACACTTAGGACAACCTTGCAAACCAGAACACATGCCTCAATGTGTGCTACCTTTACCCTTTTCCCGTCTAGACATGAAAGGAAGGAAATACGGCATAAAAGGGCATTGCATGCGGGTCTGTACTGTTAAATATCTGGCCGTCTAGACCAGCTTTTGCACTGTGATGCAAGAAGATTTCCAGGAGTTTATTTTCTTTTGACCGGTAATTATTCAGTATATGGGTTTGATTCCTCTGTCAACACAAAATTACATTATAATTCATTATTCAAGAGGTTGGACTTCTGAATATCAACGTCTGCTACTGACTTTGGATGTAGGGTTGGTAGTGGTAGCCTTTACAATACAATCTCGTAATAGATGGTGCGGGAAGTTATAGTTCCATAGCCTTTATGCAACCAATGCGCTTCTCAGCCCTGACATCATTTTTAAAAGTTCAGTTTATGCAGTTTTTACAATTTTACCGGATAGCCAAAAGACTGGGTGTTGTTATAAAGAAGACAACATTTGCTTTAGAAATGTTAAAGAAGTTATTACATGTATCAAAATTGTATTCTTAAAAATATTGACTTGGGATGCTTGCAAAGAGTGTGTTTTCTTGGTCACAACATTCAGTTGGGGGGGGGGGGTTGGCTCTCCTGAAAAAGTGTAAAAACTGCATATACTGTACTTTTAAAAATGACAGCAGAGTTATGTGTGAATACTCAACTTGGGGAAGGCTGTGCTTTTTCTTTCACCTGCTGGCTTGTACTTGGAGCCAACTTGTCGTGTATTCCTGAGTTTCCAGCACTTTGCTAGACCCAAAGCCAGCTCAGATTTAAAACTCACCCAGCAGAACTGCTTAGTATTGATAGTTTATTCCCTGATAATATGATTTGAATCTTGTCAAAGAGGAACTTGCGGAGTCCTTTTTTTCTCTGAAAAAAAAAAGGTGTGAAGTAGGTTGAAAATATTTGGGGCCCACTCTTAAAATGAAAGCAATTAAATGTAATGTAGATCAACCAACTTTCTTTCTTTGTCAACTGATGACTCTTTTTTTCTTTTTTCTTTTTATAGTAGAGGGTTTTACGGCGCTCACAACTGCATAAGGCCATATGAGCGCCAGCTGATGACTCTGCTACGGCCTGAAGTGATAACTGTGGTAAAAAGAACAGTAACTTGCTGTGATGTGCAGGTATTATGGGTGTACCATACAGATACAGGTGGGCACGGATGGTTCAAACACGTCAAGGATTGACAAGCATGTTGGACTTGTCCATAATTCGGGAAAACTGATACATGTCACAGGCGGTGGAATCAGGCACTCCTCAATTTTTGGGCATGTGATGTTAATGGTATCATCTAAAAGCTTATTAATTGCTTTCAATGAAAAAAATACTCTTCTATCTTGAACCGAAGTCAAGATATTTTACGATTTCAGGAGGTGGGGTTGCCTGGTTTCAGTGATAAAATTCGTGAGAAAATGGCTGCCAAAGCTCAGTAACTTCAATAGCTTGAGAGTCCTTTAAAACTGAAAAATAACATTTTTTGTGCCTTTTATCAACTTTTTCTGTCAAATTTACTCAGAAACGTATTTTTATATATGGATGTAAAAGGTGTTAAGTCAGAAAAAAAAAATTAGCAAAAATTGTCAAACTGGTGGGGAAATGCCGATATTTTCGATTTCATGATTTTGACTAGCACCTGATTTCACCATGATGCCCCAGATATAACCAATGAAAGAGATATCAGGCGGGGAATGGCAAGTTGTATATAAGCTATCCATGAGTTGGTGTTTTCTGTGTTAGCACTACATGTATCTGTGCCATACCAATTGTCTAGACAATTTAGTGCTGGGCGGCTAGGTTACCGATTATTGAAAGCTAGGAATCGTAGGAATCGACTCCGAACCCAATTACTTACATTCTAATGATGTGATTTTTTCCCTTGTGGTTACCGGGTTGGTGCCGAATATCTTCAGGATTTAGGATAACCTTGATTTCGGAACACTACAAAGCATCAACTTCTTTTTTTTTTTCAAAATAAATTCTTTTTCAAAAAGAAGATTTTAATGATAAAAATAACTGGCAACCGTTGGTCTACGTAAAAAGGAGACGGAACTTAACTTCCTTAGTATCGGTTCTAGAATCGACTCTTCGCCCAACTCTACTAGACATCCTCTGAAACTTTAGAAGCATGAGGACATACCCAGGTGTTGTGAAGGAAGCATTAGTGAACAGGCTGTATAAAAATATGTGTGTTTGTTATAAATATGTATAATGTGCATCATCATCATCATCATATAAATGTGCCTAAATGCAGGTAAAATTAATAAAATCCTATTTTATATTTTCTAGCCTTCCTTTTTCTCGTATTGTGTGATGTTAGCAATGATTAATGTGGGATGACTGTTTGGTCTCCTCGCACTTCTCTCTCTCTCTCCCCCTCTCTCTCCCCCTCTCTCTCCCTCCCTCTCTCTCCCTCCCTTTCTCCTCTTGCTCTGCAGCTTACACTGGTAGTTGTAATGATAGTTGTAAAGTGCATAGACCTTGCTGTAGTCATAGATATACACTACATGTATATAAATGAAATTATTATTTTATAGATCTAGTAAAGTTAAACCCTATCGATGCGACACATTTTGCTATCCCATGGTAGGCAACATCAAGATGAGGGAAATTGTGCATTCTTCAGGCTTCTCTTATTGTTGCCAAGAACCACAAATAAAATAAACTGCTTTCAAAACACAAGAGCCCAAACACTGAAGTGTGTCAGCATCAGGTCATCATTGCCCGTGCTCCCACCTGTGACATTTAGTCACCGAATAAAGCTCTCTGCGCAGACTTTAGCTTTTAAGGCTTGCCTTGTGATGCTGGCCGTTGGCTTTTGGGGCATGTGACCAGTCCATCCCGGCCTTCTTTCATTTGAGATGTTATTTCTTCCTAAAGAACATTCTAGGACAGTTTGGTCAGCCCTTCTGCACACAGTTCAAGTTAAGGAGAAGCACATCAATATTATTATAATAGAATTAATTTAATTTAACTACCATTTATTTTGCACTAATTTGAGTAAAGAGAAGAACATTGACATAATAACAGACAACTAGTGTAGGGAATGAGTAAAGACAGATGCACAGAGACAACAATTTGAGGGCGAAGTGTTAAAACTAGGACTTGCCACTGGTGTCCTCCAACCTTTTTTTTCTTAAAGTAAGTATTTTACAGCGCTCACAACTGCATAAGGTCATATGAGCGGATGTGACACATTGCCCTTATCTGAGAAGGCTAGGTGTTAGGTCTTACCTACCATAAGATATGGGGTGTGGCGGAAAGACGGCAGTAAGAAGGAGCAAAGAAGTAGCAGTAGAGTAGAAAGGCTGCAGTAAGAGTCAGGAGCCCAGAGGAGGGGGCAAAGGAGGTGAGGGAGTGGGGGGCAGAAGATGAAGACAAAAGCGGACAATAACATTGTAAGAGAACAAAATTTTATGTTCCTGTCTGGGTTCGAACGCGGGGTCTATTGAATGAGAGGCAAACACCGTAACCTCTAGAAACATGACAGCCCCCTTCCAGCCATCTGCATTTTGTAAAGAAGAAATCATGTGACAGACCAATAGAAACAACACGACATTTTAGAAAATTATTAGACCTACCAACAGCACCATCCAACCATCGGTTTCTCAACAGGCACACCAACATTCAAATAAACTATGAAAAAACCCCACTCAAATGTAAGTAAAATAATCAATTTATTTGAACTTCGTGTTTATGTGATTCCTTCAAACCACACATGATAGCCAACATGGGGGGGGGGGGGGGGGGGGACACAGAACAAGGAGGGGCCACCACTTTGACGGAAAGACCAGAAATAAGTACAGCACAGAACAGCATACAGTATATGTGATTGTTGCTCATGGACTGGATAAGACCAGTGGGAAATAAAATCGAATAGAACAAATTCTCTAACGTCAGCCAATTTATTTTAACATCATGCCACAATTCACTACCACACGTCGAAATACGTAACAACATTCATGAGTATCAATATATGTAAGGCGTTGTGAAATCAGGCGCTCCTCAAAATAAGAAAATCGAAAAAACAGGTATATTTCTGCGGGTTTAGCAATTTTTAAAAGAACTTTTGTTTTTTGGCTCAACACCTTGTATGTCCATTTAAAAACATATTTGAGTGGAATTTTACTCAGGCACTCTCAAACTATAGAAGTCACAAAACTTTGGCAGTCATTTACTTGCCAGTTTTATCTCTGAAACCAGGTGACCCCATCCTCTTTTCCATCAAAATCAAGGCGAATGTACACGCTTTAAAATAATTCTTTAAATACTAATAACTCCATACACCAAAAAACTGGCGAGCACCTGATTTCACAGTGCCTTGACACATACACACATATAAAGAGGGCTTCACTTAAAATTTTTAATTGATAGTGACCAAATTTTTCAAGGACAATACTAGTAGTGTCTTTTTTTTTTGTATGCCATGACCACTGTAGAGATTTCTTTTAAAGATAAAGAAGAAGCACACATTAACTTGACAACTATCATTTCACAAAGGCTGACCGTTGAAGGAAAGCAAGGTAGACAGACAGACAGACAGACAGACAGACAGACAGAAAAGAGCGGAGGTACAGAATAGAGAGACCTACCAGAACGCCTCCTTATAATCCACGTCTTTTTGGACACAAGGACGTCTCAACAGAAGACTTTCCTGACTAAACTGATGATTGTCTTCCAGAGTATTCCCTAGACACGGCCTTAAACAAGGTCCACTCTACATGTACAAGGTCTGACACTAACTGTACATGAGAACTTAAGTCCACAGGTTCGCTCACAATCACATTTCCTCGCCATCACTTAAAATTGCAGTATATCAAAATTTCGAAAAAATTTAGTAAGAGTTTTGCGGCACTTGAAACAATTAGGTTGTGTAAGTGCCGAAGGTTAGAGGCGCTGCAAGGGAGTAACAAACACAACAACATAAAAAAAGAGGAGAGAAAAGGACAATAAAAGTTTGATAGGAAGGACGGAAGGAGTTAACCACACCGGAGCACCCACCAACCATCCTTCACATTTCGAAAAAATACAAATCAAGTACGCTGTAGAGTTTCACGTTGCACATCAATCTGTCCTCGTCCCATTCCTCTTCTGAAACAGATTGAGTCAAATTAAACATTACACTGTATAACCATAGTGCTCTGAGCAATACAAAACAAGTTTTTTGCTTCTCCCAAAAACCTCACATTTTGACATACACTGCAGCATTAAATGACGGCAACGACATACTATTACCACATAATATGTTATGTATATAAGATACTGGTGGGAAAGAGAGAACCACATGGTTCTGTTCCACAAATACAGTATAACACAGATAGCTCGAATTCGTTGAGACTGGCCTCAGTAGTTCAAGGGATCTGTAGTTCGAGAGATATCTTACAATTACAAAGATAAAGAAGGAAAGAAGAAAAAAAACGGGACAGCAGGTACAGTTAAAAAGATGCCTGATTGCGAGTCTTCTGTGTTCAACCTATCCGTGTTATAAAATACTGTATAAGCATGTTGACAAAACAAAGACCTTATAAAGGAGGACAGCGTTGTGGCACACACACACAGCCAGGATTATGGTGCCCAGCTGAAAGCATGGTACTAATGACAGGTGATACAACTCCTTTATGACACGTGCCACAGAACACGACAGCAACAACTTATATAACACAGGAAAAACATGACACAACGCACATAATGACAGCAACACATGTGACACGGTATTGAACACAACACAGCTGACACAGGACACAGGCCAGAGAGCTAGCACAGTGTGAACCACTCAGCCCAGTCTGAAGCAAATCGCACAGAAATAATGTACTATTCCTCAAAAGCCTTTGACCAAAAATATAAACAGACGTACATAAATGTAGGCCTATATGGGGGAAAAAGAAGCACACCCGAACACAGTAAAGATCAGTTTGTGCTGAGAGAAAGTGAAAACAAGACAGGCTGACAGATAAGAAAAATAGAGGGAAGTTATAGAAGATGAACCTACCAGTGGTGCCCTCCACCCATCCCCGGAAAGTAAAATAAAACTAGAAAAAGGAAATTACTGTCACAAGAAGCAAGGAGACCAAATACACATGAACCATACCAATAATAAAAATTGACAGCAGCAAGATCAATCAAATATGCACAAAGAACTGGTCCCAAAACATTTTCCACAGTCAAAATACTGTTGGACCGATCTAAAACAAGAGCATCATGTGTATATAAAATAAATTGATGAATCAAAACGTCTAAGGACAGCTCTTACTTAAAGGTAAAGACGGCAAAATTCACGAGTGAAGACGTATCATGAAGGGCTCGGAGACATAAACAACGTCAAAACAATACAAACCTTGGGACAGCGTGAAGTACTCAGAAAAAATAGAAACCACTTTGCCGGAACAGCAGAACACAAACTAGGCTGGCACTACTCAAAGCAGGTAAACAAGACAAAAGCAGGTAAAGCATAGAGTCATAGAGAAAAGAGGCATCAATAAGTTTTATCACCCAGCCCATACACAATAAAATAGTGTGGAAACCTATACTATAGCCTTTCATCTGGAACAACAGACAAAGAACAAAAAGAACTGTAGAAACAAATTTTCCAAATGAAGTAAAATTTTGAAAAGTCATACAAAAGATTTTTTAAAAGAATTCTCCTCTGTAATCATTCTAGTAATCTTTGAAGAATTCAAAAAAGAAAAGAAAAGAAAAGAAAAACCAATGTACTGTATGTACATATTTTATTGATGCCGTTGACAAAGACCAAAAAAAATCAAAAGACAAATCATAGATAGATAACAAGTAAACATAGAAATAAATATAAAGCATTTGATCACAGCTTGGAATCTGTTACAAAAGTCAAATGACAGACACAGGCAAGAAACACTGTACAATGCAGTCAGCAATACATCAATACCAAAAAATCCAACATGCTTTCTGACTCAACCACAACTTTCATACAACAGGCAACAACAGGCAATGGTGCCACAACATTATCATTTCTTCAATCAACGCTCTTAAACTTCCACATCACTTCACAAACATTCTTTGCAACTTCTTCATTATTTGCCAGGTGTGTGCAACTGGAGAAAAACCAAGTATGGTGCAGTATGTATCAAATCACCTTCCCCAAATATTACTGGTGTAACTCTTTTATACATTATAAATTTTAAAAAGAGTAGTGTAAGCAGTTCTTCCGAGGGGTGAAAAGTATACTTGCTACTTGGAAACATGAATCCAAGCAGTTTAACACGTTTTCCAAAAACAATCTTACCACACAACAAAAGTGCAAGCTCATAAGGAACCCAACAAACCTAATATTCAACATCCAAAATATCTCATCTTTCAATGTTACATCTTTCTACATCCAAGTCAAATATCAAATTCTTTTAAATAAAATGTTCAAATTAAAAGTCTAAGAAATCTTTCAAACTCACATCTTTTTGATAAGGTCTCACAAAGTATAAAAAGAGATTAAAACAGGAACTTAAGAGAAATATAAAACACAAATAAAAAGGAAAAAATCAGTCGAAAACAGAAGAAAAAAACATCATCTGTTCATCAAAACATAAACCAAAGAGCAAACTGAAACTGAAACAAAGAAATTGATCACACATATACACACACCTGCCATGTCCAGAAACAAAATTTAACATGTCAGTTCATTTCACCAATTCCTATCACATCAAGTGAGAAACATTAATCTGCCTCGCAAGCAGTCAAAATACATCTTTGAAAAAGCCAAACAATTTGAAGATGGTACGCCTCTTGTCCATAAAAAACTATACAAACTTTTGTCATCTGTACCAAGAGCCATCAGGAGTGGGGAAAAGCTTAATCCAAACTTGACTCAACAAGATCTGAATCTCAAGGACAAAACTGTGAAAATTAATTCCAATTCTTTCATTCTAAATAAACAAAACTGAACATTTTAAGCTTTGATGACACTAGCTAGGGGAGAACACCCGTTACTTACCTTCCCCCTTCCACTTACCTCGACCCCCCCCCGCTCCCTAAAAACCCACACAAATTGATCTTAATGATTTTATAACATCCTTTTTTACTTTTAAACTTACTTCTATCAATGCACCATGACTGGAAAATAATTTAACAGGCATCAATCAGTGCCACGATTTATTCATCCTGTTTGCCTACTACAATAAAAAATCCCAACCATTCTTCTAAAAGTCTTCTCAGAGGTGACACACAACCTACACCTTGGAACCAATTAAAAAGTCTCGCAGTTCACTGAACTTTGTAATAAAAACAAAACACACTGGCTTACCAGAAGCATTCAGTCTGCATACCGGCAGCACATGACCTTATTCACACATCAAAATTTCGATTCTCCATTTTCCCACTGGTTCAGGTGACTATCTTTTATCATGACTGTATTCTGGTACCACAATCCACTGTTACACTAGAATCGAGTATCATTTTCCCTCATACTTTACGGCCACCACACTTCACACTGTCAATATGCCCTGAATTGATTCCTGCACCAGCCTAACCAGGAGAGATCATTTTGTTGTTATCCATTCTGCTGCATTGAACAACAACCAAGAAAACAGAAGCCAACATGAAAAAGCACACTAAAGCATAAGAATTACATTTGAGTATTAAAATGCCTTTAGGTATATATGTGAATTTATGTTGCTGGTAATTTCCCTCAGCATGAAAGCTTGCCACATCGTAAACAGAGTAAGCTTCACAATGGGCAATTAGCATTAAAACTAACAGAGCACATCCATATATATAAATGGAAATCCACTTCAAAGTTTTAATCTAAATCGTAAAATTTTAAACAACATTTTAAAAATCCAGCAATCACATTTTTTCCATTGCCAATGATTCTGTCGTTATTTCTTGAGAAAAGGAAATAGAAGGGAGCTTGCAAGTGTACCCATGAGACACGTCAGCGTGCGTCACTGGTCCGTCATACCTTTCTTGGTGTTGTTACACAGAACCAGTCATAGATAAGTTCCTCTGCAAAAGCCAGAACCTCGTCGCAAGCATTCACACAAACTTCATTCACCGTATCGCCCTATTCCCAGTCACTGACCACACGCAAATTGAAAACACCAGTGTCTTGTGCCAGAGAAGGTGAACTTTGGAACAAACCTTCCCGTGAGGACATGGAAGAAAATGCCCAAGGCTCTCTCCGAAGATCGTCTCAACAGTAAGACAGCCATGAACAGCACACAAGAGCAGAAATGAATCACCCTAATACACAGTTAGTCACTTTTAACTGCAGCATCCAGAGTTTGAAGACTTTGCCTTTTTGGATAGGTCCACCGCGTTTGCACTGTGCATAGGCTTCTCGTCCATTTGGTCCTCCATTTCGCGTAACCGGCCGACCGCCGATTTGAAGGCCATATCTACATTGGTTGAATCCTTCGCACTCGTTTCGAAATATGGGAGGTTGCCGTTGCGGGCACACCAAGAGCGGGCCGCCTCCTCCCCAACGTCGCGGGACGGCACGTCCACTTTGTTGCCCAGCACCAGGAAAGGGAACGGCGTGCCCTCCTGGATGTCGGCGTAGTACAGGAACTCCCGCTTCCACATGGGTAGATTCTCAAAGCTTTTCCGATCGTCCACGGCGAATGTGAGCATGCAGATGTCAGCTCCCCGGTAAAACGGCGTGCGCAGACTCTTGAACCTCTCCTGGCCAGCTGTGTCCCAAATCTGCATGGTGTAGTTCTCTCCGTCCACCTGTGGGAATAACAAGGATTTTTAGGATGAAGTGATGCCTTCAGGCACAAAGGACATCTTGCCCTGCTCCAAGCTATGACGATCATCATAGACTATGTGTGAGCGATAAATACTAACTTCATTTTTTTTTTTTTATGTTACATTTGAAAAGCGTAGATTTCAAAGTAATCTTCATATATGAGTGTTGCTATACCATTAATAATAGATAGCATTAGTATAGCGCAAATCCCCCCTCAAAAGCAAGCTCCTAACAGGGTAGTACATATTTTTAAAACCCTGAAACAGATGTCAAGTTTCGCTGTCCCTTTTTTTAAATACCCATAATTGATCTCTTAGTTTATATTTCATGGGGTTTTTAACAGAATAAAAAACTGTTGTCTTTCAAGCCAGCGAGCTGACATTCTGTGAGTACATTCCTAATCAAAATTTATGCAACAGTGATTTTAAAAACAATTTCAACTTTTCAATACACAGAAACTTTTTTGCTGTTCAGAAGTGGTCTTTTTACATTGCCACCGAGAGCCATTAGCAACAAAAAAAAACCCATGCTGCAGCAAGCCTGAATAAATTAGAGGAAATCTGTATTGTGCCATTGTATTGTCATACAGCTTTAAACAATATGTGTACTGAGATGGAAAGCATCTGGACAAGAGTTCCTGATTCTTTTTCTTTTTTTTAGAAAAGATAAAAATATTCTGTGAAAATCCAATATACATTGTCCCTACTCTAGCAAAATGGTACATATCTATTTTTAGCTACTTTTCAGATAAATGGAAAAAACTTCTATCTAGACTATTTATCATCTAATAATAGTAAAACTTGCCACAAATGTTTCTTTTGTCACTTGTCAGCGCATTTTTGTTTTGATTTTACCAAAGGATAGATTATTATAGTACCACCAAACAAAATAAAAGGCTAGATGCATTTTTGCACAACTATGAGTTACATGCTATTTGCCAGTACATTGACAACATAAAATATCTCCACTGTTTTCATTTATTTCATTGGCAAAAGGAGACAAAACTCATATATTATTAAACCAGACTGTCAATCTGAACTTTTGTACTCAGTCAACTAAAAGGAAAACTAAAACTGTTTAACTAATTTTAAAGAATTTCACATAATTTTGGAGTACACTCCACAAATAACCCACTGCGGTGATCACCCATACTTTTATATAAAATCAAGCTACATCAACATTGCTTGACATTGTTTCTACAGCTACTTCCTCTCTATGACAATCAGCAGCAATGATAATGCCTGTTCATCCTTTTCTCCCTTTACAGCACCAGTCCGTTACAAAAGAACAATATGAACTTTTTTGACAGACCATTATCCACTACCTTGAAGTATCAGTTATAACCCAAACCTGAGGAAAAAAATACTTTTACATGCATTTTAACCCTTATATTCCCCGCTCAATATACAAAATACCATCTAGTCTCTATTCCTTTTCTTTGACCAGGTCATAGCTGTGTAAAGCTCATTCACATTATAGTACAGGTGTCCTTATTTTTTTAATTTCATACTTTAAAGACAATTTTGTCATTGTTTCTTCAAAAAGATTTAGTGTTCTGCTCTGCCTCCCGGACTGCAGGGGATAAAGAAAGACAGAAAAGATAATACTATAAAGTAAGACTTTTATCCAATAGCTCAGTATTCCATTTCACTTTTGCTAGCCATTGGACAATCAAGGTAGTCTTTCTATCAATGAATCGAGACTTTTAGTTTAAATTTACCCTTTTTATATTTTGTTTTTATAGTCAAAGAACACAGCAGCCACAATGACATTCAACCCTCTGCTGTGCCATTGTATGACATTGTATGGTCCTTCAAAATACAGAAGAGTAGCAAGCAAAACAGAAAGGACAACCAAGACAAATGGCACAAACGCATGCAGTACAATACTCACCACAACATCTTTGTTGAGAAATTCCACACCAATCGTGTGGAAACTCTGTGCATCAAATTTATTGCTGACAAATCTGTTCATGAGGGAACTTTTTCCGACTCCTCCATCTCCCAGTAGCACCACCTTCAACAACTTCGACCGCCCCGACATGATAACACAATGGCCAATATCCTATGCTCAACAGATGACTGCTCTGCAAAAAATATATACATACAATAAAAAAAATCAACCATAGTTAAATTTAAATATATGATTCATTATTTATATCAACACTTACACTGTTTTATCTATCAACTAACCAGACCCTGAGACTCAAGCATGGTATCACTGACCACGAAAAAAAAAAAAAAAATTTTGGAAAAGTAATAAAAGGATTTTATTCTCAAAAAGACGCCACTTCCTTCAGATACTTGTAAGCCACTAGGTAATTATTAAGTCTCTGTACTATTATGTGCATAAAAATAGAGGAAAAGAATAGCTCCTACCCCTGAATGGGCATGAGGCGAGGACTCCCCCCTGACCTCTCGCAGGCCGATAAAATCACCTAGGCCCATGGTGGCAAAACGCATGTGGTTGGGAATGAATGATAATGTAAAAAAATTTTTTGCCTCTCAAGTAAAAAAAAATATGGCTCACTACACACATTACTGCGCGGGATGTGAGACAGGCCATTTGTTGTTTAAACACTTAAAGAAGGAAGGCCTCTCTCCCTGCACACAATAAATTTTATGGTTCAAGAAACAGAGAGCGTGTACGAACATAACGAGACAAGAGCATGAGACAATAAAAGCTTGTGCACAACGGTAGAAGGGTTGTAAATTATTCAGACAAAAAGGGCGAGGGCGTTAAATAGTGTTAACTACTAGATTCTAGTTCAATAATTAAGCAATCCAAGCTCTTTTCTTCACTTTCATTTCATTTTTTTTCTTTTATTGTTTTTCTTTTTCTTGTTTTTCTTGCCTCTTCTTTCCCTTTCTTCTTGAACATTTAGAGTTTGGAGAACCCTGCGGGGCAGTGCCACTGACTAGTGTCTTTAGGCCATTCCCAAAGGGGGACATTTTTTGTTACAGTAGAATTGTAAATGGGCTGATTCATCATGTCATGCTCATTACTGTGCCTGATCTACAACAGGGAACTGCTGCTTTTTCTTTCCTAATCCTTACTATTGTCATTTCCTTCTACTTCTTTTGTACGTTTGTCACACTCTTGTGACCCACTATTTCCGGGGTGCCTTGATAGTCGAAGCAGACCTTATGCTGTTGAAGCTAGAGAGGTGAGCAGAGTAAGTCTGATTCCCTGTAAAGACTTCTCTGTTGACACACACCCTTGGCGCTCATATGACCTTCTGCAGTTGCGAGCGCCGTAAAACTCTCTACTATAAAAAAAAAAAAGGAGTTTGAAGCCACAATAAAAAGAGCCAGAGAGCCAAAAAAATTCTCCGGCCCAGACCCGATCCAAAAGAGCCAAATTTCTGTGATTTTGCTCCAAACTGACAACACTGACAGTGACTATTATTTGGACCTGAACAGTGATGAAAACGATGCTGTGAAGTAGGGTTGGGTCGGGCTCGCAAAATTAGGGTCCACGAGTAACGAACTACTCGTTGGCACTACCCGCAAACGAGCGGACGGGTAACAAACTGTCCACTTGTGAAGAGTAGTTCTCTACTCGCTACACATCGAACAGAGACAACAGTTCGTTTAGCGAGCGAGCGGACGGGCGGACCGAGAGAC